AAGGAGTGGGGTCAGTTTCATCAGAGCCGCATGTTGGGTTCATGTAACATTAGAATTGCCTAGCCCTGTGCCAAAAGTGTGGGTAGATAAAGGTTTAAGGTCCTGGAGAAACAAGGGGGCTTCAGTGACTCAGTAGGCAATCTTTGGGGGAAGAAAATAACCCAGCCTGTGGAAACTGGAGACTAGAATACCACTTGGTGACAGGTTTTCCTCTTCTGAAGTTATCCTGAAGCTTAAAATTTCTTTAATGTGTAGGAAAGGAGTGGTGCTAGTAAGTGGAGAAAACAAAATGGATCTCACTTTGGATTCCACCGTCTGTAGGGTTTACATCTGTAATCCCAGCTACTCAGGAGGTGGAGACAGTAGGATTACACAAGGACAGAACTGATTCCTTTGTAGTCACAGAGGAAGACCTCAGAGTTCACAAGGCCCTGGACATTCAGAAGCACTGATCCCTGATAGTGAATCAAAATTAGCCCTGACTAAATGTTACTGTAGTTTCATTACAGAGAACTTTGTTCAAGTTCAAAAAGAAAGGTACTCAGTGCCTGACCTATGTAACTGGAACCCCTCTGTACATCACTTTTAGAATAAAAATAAATTAAAAAAGAATAAAGCTGTGCTTCATTTCTTCATCCAGTAGAAATCTAGCATAATCATTGGAAGACACTATTTTGAAAGTTGCATGACTAATATTAGTCAGTCAAAATATCTCCTTGTGTCTCTCCAGGGCCCTTGTAGTAGTAATCATTCCCTACATTGAGTACCCAATGGTATTTTCCATTCAAGTTTCCTTTTGTGGCCATGAATCTCTCTTTTTGTGAAGATGGGGTATGAATGGCACTACCTAAAGCATTCCCATGTTTCTATATTACTCTTCTTGTGTTATTTTTTTGAAATAGTGTCTTGCTTTATGCTCAGGCTGGCCTAGACCACAGTCTTCCTATCTGTGTTTCCTTTTTCCCTGAATCACTAGTGAATGTCAGACACACACTATCATGTACGGCCATTAGTTGAGATGGAGTCTCTCCTACTGTGATCCCTTGATCTCTGCCTCCCAAGTAGGTAAAATTGCAGGCTCGGGCCACTATGTCTAAATTTAGAAAAGCTCTCTTTTTGGTGATCTTTTCATTATTAGCATTTAGAACTGTAAATTTGTAAACTGTAAAAATATGCTTGCCTACATTCTACAAGTTTTGATATGGTACTGTTTACACAGTTATTCAGTTGTAAATTCTTTAATTTCAGTTATGATTTCTTCTATGCTGTATAGGTTAATCATTTGTTAATTCATTATGTCATTTCTTATTAGCCAAACTTAAGGTGTGTGTGTGTGTGTGTGTGTGTGTGTGTGTGTGTTTGTGTGATTCACTGGTCTTGGGGTTTGAACTCAGGGTCTGGGTGCTGTCCCTGAGCGTTTAGTAAGTCTAGTGCTCTACCACTTGAGCTACAGCTTCCCTTCCCTTCCCTACCCCCTCTTGTCTCCCCTCCCTTCCCTTCCCCTCCCTTCCTTTCCCTTCCCTTCCCTTCTCCTTCCCTTCCCTTCTCTTCCTTTCACTTCCCTTCCCTTCTCCTTCCCTTCCCTTCCCTTCTTCTCTTCCCTTCCCTTCTTCCCTTCCTTTCCCTTTTCCCCTTCCTTCCCCTCCCCTCCTCCTTCCCCTCTCTTCCTCTTCCCTCTTCTTTCTTTTAAGTTAATTGGTGATAAGGGTCTCTTGGCTTTTCCTGCTTTGGCTGGCTTTGCCTTGAACCATGATCCTCAAATCTCAGTCTTCTAAGCAGCTAAGGTTGTTTATAGGAGTGAGCTACTGATGCCTGGCTGAAATTTAAGATAAAAGATATTTCTGGCAGTTCTCAGGGCATCACAGTTTGTTTTTGAGATACGATCTTGGTAATTTATGCTTGTTGATCTTGAACTGTGATCCTTCTGTCTCCCAAGTAGCTGGATGTACTGCCACCAAGCCCAGTAAGAGATTTAGTTTTATTGATAAGTGCCATTGTGGCAACTGACTATGATGCTAGATTTGTAGTACCTTTGATCACATCCCATTTGTTGGGGAGGGGTGTGTTGTTATTATATGGTACTTTTAGTTTTATATTACCTTAGAAACTTAACATTTTTATTTTATTAAAAAAGGCCCCAGATTAGACAATTATTTTCTTTAGGGCAAAACAAGGACCTTGCAACAGCAATTCCAGGAGCTCCTTTCTTATTCATATGCTGTTCTAGTGAAGTATCTTCTTTCTAACTTGTTTTCTTTAAAAAAAACATTGTTGTTACAGCTCTATTAAATCTATATTTGTTAAAGATGATTATTTTTCTTTGCTGTTAATTTCTATCAAATTGGTATGTTGAGATAGTCAATTAAATTGAGGCAATGAGCCACACTGAAAGTAAGAATGAAAACATAATCACTTACTGAGATAATCTAAGCAGTCTATCAGGGGAAGAGAGTTCCATTTCTCCCCTGATAATGTCACCATGCAAGGGTAAGTTGGTACAGCATAGATGGCAAAGATATTCCACCTTTGTAGGGCCCTAAACTTAAGACTTGACATTTTGTAGGCAAGAATTGAGGGAAGGGAAAAGGGGCAGAAATGGAAAAGCACTAAGTCAGAGGAGGAACATCTTAATCCTAAGAGGAGTCTTATTCATGGAGGAATCTGGGCTAAGAATGTAGATATTCTAATGAGCATGGACGCCTAGGAGGTCTCTTGCCTGGACAGCCGCAGCTCCCACTGCACTCATTGCCTACTTTGTCCAGGGTGGAAGGGCAAAGTGCCTTTTCCCAAGAGGCCTGTTGTATAAAACCTTGTAATTGCTCATCTGCTTGAAGGATCATACAGAGATGTTGGAGCCAATCTCCTTACCACTTCAGCACTATATTAATGTTTGCTCTGAGATCATTTGATTCTGTTGGAAGAGCACTTTTTCAAATTTCTTTTAGTGAAGATATGATGGTAGAAAATTGAATTTCACTCTGAATACAACCTTATGTTTTCTTTCTTTCATTTTTTTTTACATTTTAAAAATTATCGTTAAGTAGTTGTACAAAGTTGTACAAAGGAGTTGAATAAAGTAGTTTATAAATACAATGCATCATGATCAATGTCACCCTTCCAACATCCTCATTCATCCATCCCCTCCCCAATTCTTCCTTCACTTTTCTTAATTTTGTAGGATATACATTGACTTCTTGACTGCATTCTCTCCCTCTTCTCTTTGTCTGTCCCTTTTCCTTTGACACTACCCCACCCCTTTCAAGTACTTGCTTCCTGGGGTTTATTTTGTTGAGCTTTGACTTTGCTCTTCTAAGGAATTATACTACTTGAGTTATTCCTCAGTTAATACATATTTATTACACTTGTATACCACCCAACATATTTACTTATAAATTTACCAGCTAAATCTAGCCTCCACATATAAGGGAAAACATGCATTCTTTGTCTCTCTGGGTCTGAGTTACTTCACTTAATTTTTTTTCTAGGTCTTTCCATTTCTTTACAAATGGTACAATATTATTCTTTCTAATGGATGAGTAAAATTCCATTGTGTATATATATCACATTTTTTTTGACCCATTTGTCCATTGAGGGGCATCTGAGCTGATTTTGTACCTTGGGATCAATAGTACTACAGTAAATATGGTTGTGCCTTGGCCTTACTTTATCCTGGTTTGTAATCTTTTAGGTAAATGCCCAGGGGTAGAATTGCTGGATCACAGGATAGATCTATGTTTAATTTTCAGAAGAACTTCCATGCTGCTTTCCAGAATGGTTGAACAAACTTACATTCCCACCAACAGTGTAATGGGGTCTCATTTTAGCCATGTCATTGCTAGCATCTGTTATCATTTATTTACTTGATAATGGCCATTCTGAGTGAGGGTAAAATCAGACCCTTTCTTTGCTTGCATGAAATGCTCTGACCTGGACAGGTCTCTGGATTTTGGTACCGACCTTTGGCTCCTGTCCCTATATGTGTGCTGCAAGGCTGGAGGATGGAAACTTGTGCTTCAGTTAGCTCTACTGGCTTAGGTCTGGGGCAAAACTCTGAAATCTGAGCCCTTCAGTCTCTGTCCCTTTCATTTTTAACCAGTTTATTCATATATTCAATCAAGTATTTTTCAAAAGTTATTTAGCATCTTTAATAATCAGTATAAAGGTCAGTACTTTGCTACAAAGGAAAACTTCATCCTTTAATCCTTTCAATTAATAAAATTTTTCCACTAATAAAATTAATACTTTATCTTCTTCTGGCAGCATAGTTAAATTACACGTATGTAGACATTGTGAAATTGTCTCAGAATTCTTGGCTGATCTATTCTGAATTTCTGCCGTGTACTCTTTTTTCTCTTAGTATTTGAGTTTATCTAATTTTTGTGACCTCTATTCAACATCATTGATTCTTTCCTTAGCCTTGTCCTGTCTACTGATGAGCCCAACAAATAATTTCCTTACAATAAATTTATTATTTATTTTCTTGCTTTTTTTGGTGCTCTTCATTGGGAACTGGTCATTGTTTGAGGAAGGATAGTAGGATAGGCCACAGAATGAGTAAGGAGCAATGTTTGTGCTCTGCAGGACCCTGTAAATATTTGTCCTCTCTGAGCTTCAATAATACAAATAAGCCCACTTCATGGAAATATATGACATATTTAAAATGTAAATATCAAATGGTATTCTTGTCTAATTAGATCATTTATATATAACAAGGCAATTGATTATCTATCTTGATTTTTCCCCAAATGGTAACATCCTTCTCTCCTGCAAATTAAAAATTCACATCTCATTTGAAAACTTTGTTACATAAAATTTACAAAGTAGAAAGTAAAATACCTCCAGACTTTTAATTATCACTATATTGTATAATTATCCTCGTACTGCATCAATAACAAAAATTGGTCTTGTCATATTTAGTGTCTGCAAATGAACAGAGACAAACCAGAGGTCCTCCAAAGATACATTCCGTGTTTATTATTAAAGTAGAAACAGTATTTTAAAAAAAGATGGTATAAAGAAATACCCTTACTCTGAGCCCCACTGTATTTTGATTTTGTAGAGGTGGTAGAGGTCATTCTTTATCCTAAAAAATGGTAGACAATTTAGAAAATATTGAGAAAGAGGATAACAGGAAGTACAAAAAAGACTTGTGCTTTGAAGATGGATCAGATAAGCTATTATGTGAAGAGCTGTTTCCCGAAGCTGTTGACCCAGGATTCCTGGTAAGCAAGATGAAAATACCTTCTTTCTTGCTAATGTTAGGTTCTGGGTAGCATTTCTTCTAGGTCTGCAACGACGTAAGCGACAACAGACCAGACAGCAGCAGCAATATTCATCTGCTTTGGGTTCATGACAGTCATGGTATCTCCATAGGTGTGATGGAAGGTGAAATATTTAAATAGGTCATTACTTAGACTGGCACCTAGAGAGAAAAGAGGAAGAATTCTGAGTGGGGTTTTTCAACAATTCTGCTGATTAGCTGCTCAGAAACCCTTGTACCCTTACTCTCTCTCTCTCTTACCTTTTGCCTGTTCTTACTACTTGCTGTGGTGGCAAACTAATTACTTCCTCCAGGCTTCCTGCAGTGTGAATTGGTCACCTGATATCATTCTGGCCACTATGATATGGCTGGATATGTTCTAGGAAAGCCTTTACTCTACTGACAGGAGTTGGTAGTTGGTGGAAATGTCCTTAATGCTGCATTAAAGGTAGATGAGAAGGTAGAAGCTGCATGGGAGAAATGGCTGCACACTAAAAATGGCAGCATGGAAAGACAGAAGATCTGGATTTAGAAACTGTGACTAGCCTTTGAATAATGCAGCACTGCCTACTTCCAGACTTGCTTCTAGATGAGGGAAAATAAACGTTTTATTTCTGCAAATAACTGACACAAATGTCCTGATAGTCATAAAAGACAGCAGGATCTTTGTGACTGCAAGACTGCAAGGTTGCACCTTCCTGGAAACAAAACAAAGTCAATATTCTTTTGCTCAAGCTTTCCTTCACAAATTGGGCATTTACTTCTTACAGTCATGAAATCCCCAGCAAACTCCACCGGCAGCAAGAGAAGCCTCTGCCCCATTTAAAAGCATTCTTCTCACTTTTCACCAGTTTCAGAGCCACATAGAGGCGTCTGTCTACTTCATCCTTGAAAAGCTACTAGGCCTATCTTGTGAATTCTCATTGCAGCCCTGTACCTTCTGGCAGCTTGACTGATGGTTTGATTGTGAAATGCACCAAACCCACAGAAGATTTTAGAGAATACAAATCCTTATTACTAGAAGTGATAATATTAAAAGTACACATATATCTGTAATGCAATCAAGAAGTATTTCCAGGACCCTTGACAGCCAATTTCTGATCCCTTCATTCCTCACTATATGTCCTCTAGGTTGTACCTATCATTCCCATCCTGCTTACATGTTAACCACTACTTTTTTTCTTTATGGTTTTGCAGAACACATTTACAAACACACACACACACACACACACACACATACATACACACCCACAAAGAGAGATATAATTATATTGCCAGCTTTTTAGGTATTGACTGCAGATATATTTCTGCATCTTTCTTTTTTTCATTCAACACGTTTACTATCATGAATGGCTATAGAATTTTCTTCTTTTCCTGTATATTATCTCATTGTATTTATTTTCATGGCAATGGAAATTTAATTTTTTTCTCCAGCTTTCTTGCTATCATCAACATTCTCTAGAGTGGAATGTAGACTATATTATATATGTATGTTTAATTCTACTATGTATTTCCAAAATGCTTTTCCTTTTAATTTACAATTCTATTGTGTGTGGATTTCAATAGATACTGCCTTGTCAATTTTAAAAGTAATAATAACAAAGTAACCTTTCTCACTTCCAGATCAGCAAAAAATGACTAACAATCTCAAGTGCTAGAGAGGAGGTTACAGGGACACAGTCATGACATCCATCAGGCAAGAACCCTCCCTCCTGTCCTTGCAGCTGTTTTGTAACTGTTCTTACCCATTAGCTCTTCCAGAAAAATGTCAGAATCTTTTTCTTTGTCTTTTTTTGTTGTTGTTGGTCATGGGGCTTGACTCTGGGCCTGGGTGCTGTCCCTCAACTCTTCAGCTCAAGGCAGGCACTCTACCACTTGAGCCACAGAACCATTTCCAGTTTTCTGAGTGTTTTATTGGAGATAAAAGTCTCACAGACTTTCCTGCCCGAGCTAGCTTTGAACCATAATCCTCAGATCTCAGCCTCCTATGTAGCTAGGATTACAGGCATAAGCCACTGGCGCCTGGCTTCAGAATCATTTTCTAATTCTAAAAAAAAATAACTATGGATTTTTGACTAACACACTAATCTGTCAGTTTGGAGGCAGATCTTATATTGCTTTATTAGGATACTATGTTTTATTTAGTTATTTTATATGTTTTTTTATCTTTAAGTAGTTGTACAAATGGGGTGATGTCATTCTTTCTGATGGAGGCATAGAATTCCATTGTGTATATATACCACTTTTCTTGATGCATTCATCTACTGAGGGGCATCTGGGTTGGTTTCATAACTTAGCTATGATAAATAATGCTACAACAAACATAGTTGTGCTGGTAGTTTTACTATGGTCTTGTCTGTGATCATTTGGGTAAATGCCCCAAAGTGGGACTGCTGGGTCATAGGGGAGCTCTATGTAGAGTCTTTTGAGGAACCTCCATACTGCTTTCCAAAGTAGTTGAACAAGTTTACACTCCCACCAACAATGCAGTAAGGTTCCCTGTCCACATCCCCTCCAGCATCTGTTATTATTAGAGTTCTTGATTATAGCCACTCTAACTAGGGTGAGGTGAAATCTCAACGTTGTTTTGATTTGCATTTCTTTTAGGGCTAGAGAGGTTGAGCATTTCTTCACAGGTCTATTGACCATTCTTATTTCCTCTTCAGAGAAGTTGGGCAGTTGTTTCTTTGAGGATTTGTTGTTGGGGGATTTAATTTTTTGAGTTCTAAGCATATTTCAGCTATAAGACCCTTATCCATTGTATGGCTAGTAAAGATCTCCTAATCCTTGGGCTTTCTATTGATCTTGCTTGCTATGTTTTTTGCCATGCAGAAGCTCTGCAGCTTCATGCAATCCCATTTGTCCAACCGTTCTTTGATTTGTTGTGTTTCTGGGTCTCTATTAAGAAAATTTTGGCCTGTGCCAAGGAGACCTAGGGTTTCTCCTATTCCTTCCTGTAATGTTTTCAGAGTGTCTGCTTTGACTTTGAGGGCTTTGATCCATTTGGAGTTGATTCTGATGCAGGGTGATATATACCAATCTAGCTTAAGTTTTCTATAGGTAATTAACCAATTTTGCCAGAACCATTTACTGAAGAGGCTGTCTTTCTTCCATTCTATTTTTTAGCTCCCTTATGGAAGATTAGGTAGATATAGGTCTGTGGGTTCACTTCTGAGTTTTCAATTCTATTCCATTGGTCCTCAGGTCTGTTCTTGTGCTAGTACCAAGCTGTTTTGATTACTATGGCTTTGTAGTAGAGTTTGAAATTTGGTATTGATATTCTTCCAGCACTATTCTTTCTGTTAAGGATCATTTTTGCTATTCGGGGTCTTTTATTGTTCCACATAAATTTTTCGATTGCCTCTTCTATTTCCTTGAAGAATGAGGTTGGAATATTGATAGGGATCGCATTGAATCCTTGGGAAGTATGGCCATTTTCACAATATTGGGAAGTATAGCCATTTTCACAATATTGATCTTTCTGATCCAGGAGCATGGGAGGTTTTTCCACTTTCCAAGTTCTGCTTTGATTTCCTTTTTCAGGTTTTCAAAGTTTTCATCATAGAGGTCCTTCACTTCTTTAGTTAAATCCTAGGTATTTTATTTTTTGTGGGGCTATTACAAATGGAGTTGCTTTCCTAATTTCAGCCACACTTTTCTCATTGTTGGCATACAGAAAAGTCTTTGATTTTTGAGGGTTGATTTTATACCCTGCAACTTTGACAAAGTTTCAAATCAGCTCAAATAATTTGGGAGTGGAGTCCGTGGGATTCTTTAAATACAAGATCATGTTATCTTCAAAGAGGGAGAGTTTTACTTCAGCTTTCCCTATTTGGATCCCCTTTATGTTTGCATCTTGTCTTATTGCTATAGCTAGGCATTCTAATACTAAACTGAAGAGAATTGGGGAGAGTGGACATCTTTGTCTCATTCCTGACTTTAGAGGAAATGGCTTTAGTTTTTTGCAATTAAGTATAATGCTGGCTGTAGGTTTGTCTTATACAACCTTTATGTACTGAGGATGGTCCATGGATTCCTTCAGAGCCTTCATCATAAAGGGGTGTTGGATCTTGTCAAATCCTTTTTCTGCATCTATTGAGATAACTATGTGGTTCTTATCCTTGCTTTTGTTGATGTGATGAATTATATTAATTAATTTGTGTATATTGAACCAACTTTGCATCCCTGAAATGAATCCTGTTTGATTCTAGTGTATGCTTTTTTTTAAACGAGGTGTTGAAATTGATTGGCCAAAATTTTGTTGAGAAGTTTTGCATTGATCTTCATAAAGAAATGGGTCTATAGTTCTCTTGCTTTGATGAATCCCTGCCTGGTTTTGGGATGAGGGTTAGGATGGCTTCATAGAAAGAGTTTGGTAGTGAACTTTCTCTTTCAATTTCATTGAAGAGTTGGAGGAGTATTGGTGTGGGTTCTGCTCTGACAGCCTTGTAGAATTCTGCTTAAAATCTATCCTGTCCTGGGCTTTTCTTAGATGGGAGGTCTCTTATTGGTGTTTCTATTTTGATGCTTGAAATAGATCTGTTGAGTTGGTTTAACTCTTCTTGATTTAGTTTCAGTATGTTGATATTTGTTAGGAAATTGTCCATTTCTTCCAGATTCTCACTTATTAGCATAAAGGTTTGAGAAGTATTCCCTTAAAATATTCTGAATCTTGGTTGTTTCTGTGTGATGTTTCCATTTTCATCTCTGAGTTTGTCAATTTGGGTGTATTCTTTTTCTGATAAGATTTACTAAGGGTCTGTCAATTCTATTAATTTTTTTTCGAAGAACCAACTCTTTGTTTTCTTGATTCTATGGTTTTTTAAAAATTCTAATTCATTTAATTCTGATTTAATTTTAATTATTTCTTTCCATCTACTAGATTGGGGTTTAGCTTGCTGCTCTTTTACAAGAAGATTCAGATATCTCATTAAATTGTTGGCTTCAGATATCTCCATTTTGTTGATGTAGGAACTCAGAGCTATAAACTTGCCTCTGAGTACTGCCTTTGCTGTGTCCCAGAGGAGCTGGTAATTTGTGTGTTCATTTTTGTTGAATATCATAAACATTTGAATTTCCTTTCTAATCTCTTCCATGACTCACTGGTGATTCAACAATGTGTTGTTCAGCCTCCATGTGTTAAAGGACTTTCTTTGGTGGCT